TAGTCAGAGCTCTGCTGATGATTATCTGGATTTAATCAGATTACAAAAAAAAAAGTCAGGTCATTGTGGGAACAAAATGCATAAGAAAATATAGAGCCACACTGGTGATGTTTTCACATATCTAAATATGACTTTAATGTTGTATTAACTCCTAAGAGCTGTGAATATAACAACCAGACTATGCTATTAAATTAGATTGCTTTTTGTTTATGTTATTCAGTTTGCATGATTTAATAATTGAATAATTTAAGTTTCAATTTTTGTGCATATTTTATTAGTAGGAGCAGAAAAATAGGGATACATTTACTGGCATTAGTAGGCGATTCATTTGTTAAAACTCATCACCATGCACATGTATAACATTTAATGCTTAAAAAGGCATTGCCACAAAAAAAAACACTTTTTAAAACAGCAGAACTTAAATGTTTCTAATGACACAAAAAGAAATTCAACTGTTTCTTCAGGAGACTTTCAATTATTGAACCACCACTGTGGTTTTAAACTCTGAATGTACCAGCAAGTCCCCATAGAGGCAGATTTTTATTATTATTATTTTTTTTTAGCAGAAAACGACCGAACGGTTTATAATTCCTTCCTCTCCCTAACCTGTTTGGTGTCATTTGCAGAGAAAACATACAGCATTGTGTTGTAGCAATGCCATAACACCTTTCTGTTTAAACCAAAGACCATTTCCGTGTGCAAAAGGCCTACGTTTCAAAGAGGTTAAGAGTTTCAGACTTGCAATTCTTTTAAAAACCTTTCTTGGAAAAGCGATCCATAAACTCATCAGTAAACACAAGATGCAGTAAAAGGTGTCTGTTTAAAATTAAAACTCCTAAACAACTTTTTTTTTTTTTGGTCGCATTATAGACAGGAAGTTAAATATTTTAGAAAAGAGAAAACAACTAAATTTAGCTTCCAAAGATGCTGAGGGTAAATTGAATCGTATCCCGAAAATAGAAGGATTAGGAAACGTTAGGAAACAACAAAGCTTTGCCAGAGGAAAGCCACAGGACTTTGGCACAAACACTTTTTAATATAGCTATTTTAATTAAAGAAGTAAGACAAGAGCAGGTGCACTGGCAGCCAGAAATGATGAATAATGGTTTGAAGAGAAAGTAAGAGGGCAGATTGTGGAAGTCAGCTTCTAGAGTAACAGTGGATCAAAATTGTGGTTTTCTTTGTATAGAACATACACAAATATTTAAGATGTATGCCGATGCTTCATGTGTCAGTTTTCAAACTAAACTCAGCTCAATTGGCCTCTAAGGGACCTAGCTTCCTTTTCCTGACCTGGATATGTAAACTTATCAGGGAAAGCAGGGAGGTCAGACCTGACGGTTCAATCTGTGGACAGAGCTATTGATGAAGTCTAATCATTTCCTGTTTAGTGGTTAAACAAAATCATACATTGTTCAAGGAACACAGGAAGAACAAAGGTAATGGTCAGGTAGAAGATGACCTGTAGATATGGTGACAGGTTCTTGACTGGTTGCAGAAGCTCTTTGCTTGAGCCTTCTTTGGTACAGTTTCTATGTGTAATGACCACCTCAGGGGTCGATGAAGGGTGGGTTCCTCTGAGAGATGATTAATTGATCAGCAAGTCCTTAAGCTCCTCAGACGACAAAACGATAAGCACTTTTTAAAGCTCTCTAGAAGTGGTTCAATGTGTTTCCATCCTTGCTAAACTTAAATGCTGTCTGTATTTTGGAAGTTCAGTAAAAAAGTTTGGTTTGTGAAGATAATGTGGGAGTCAGGGTGTTTTTGCTATGTATATACACAGGCTAGAAAGGAAGGATGGCCAGAACAAATGAGAGAAAATCACTCAAGGGATAGAAAGGTTTCCATTTGATGGAAATATGCTGCAGGTGAGGGCGACGTGAGTTCTGTAACACCCTGATATCGGTACACCAACCATCATTTACATAAAATCATTTTTCACCGCCTCTCTTTCCTCCCCCTCACCAGCAAAGAGCAAAATGATAAAACCATGCAGAGTGCCAGAGAATGAAGGCTTACTTGCCATAGGATTTTACGTTTCCACCAAAAAGGCTTCTTTTCTGCATGTTTGGGCTCATATAAAGCACAACTTTAAGAGGCACCAAAGTTTATCAGAAGATTAAAAAAAATGTATTGCTGTTTTTTTATTCTAACTTATCTAAAAAAAATCATTGGTGCTTTGCATTAAATGGAAAAACATTTGATTACATCTTTTTTTTTAAATGAAGGTGGGAAATTATGCAGGATGGATATTGGCCAGATAAATGGTAAAAAGCAAAAAAGTCCATTAAGTTTTAACCACATGCTGCAACAACATGTTTTTGCAAAGTTTACAAAACCTATTAAACTGAAGTTTAAGGCTAGATGTCTCAAACGTTATCAATTAGCATTTTACAGAGCAAGCACTCCTAGAATAGCTCCTTTAACATTCTGTGCTGCATCACAATTAATCCAAACAGAGCATGCTGTAAAACTCAAAAATCCTTCTGCAGCTCCAGCTTATGCAATTATAATGCAGTGGCTCAGACTAAACCTAGGGCAATTTTTAGGCTGTGAGTGGAAAAGAGCAAAGCTGATGTTTAAGAAGAGTAGGAAATATGTGAAATATGGAGTTGAAAACAAAACTGAGGGCTCAGGAAAAACAGTGGCCCAGATGGGAGATTCTGCGAACTAAAGAGGATGTTGAGTAATACTGTCACAGCGGATCTCGCTGTCAGCTCCGCCTGGCGACAACATGTGTGGAAACACTTCAGTGGACAGCAACAAACGCTGTTCTTTAAAGGGAGGGTCTGTTTAATTTATTGTCACTGTGCTGTCCCATATTTTTCAACAGTAGTCCATTTCCAGCTTCCCCTCACTAAGAACCACAGTATTTCAAAGTTCTGTTCTATGAGGAAACGGAAATTATGTATTGTTCACCAGCTAAACACTACGTCATCAATTAATAAGCAGGATGGGTCATGCCATCAGGTAGCATTGGCTATCTTTTCCATTTTGCTTACATCTGTTTGTTTCTGTTTGTTCATCTTGGCTTGTTTTTTTTTTCTGAAAAGCTGCCTTAGTTTAACCATTTAAAAAAGAGACAATGATTTTATTCATGACCAATTTTATTTCTCTACAAGGTTGAAATTTAAAACTGAAATAAAACATTTTTGAGTTAAATTGTTAGTTTTCTAGGCCAGTGTTTTTTAACCCTGTTCCTCAAGGCACACTGCTCTGCATGTTTTGGATGTTTCTAAACTTCAGCACACCTGATTCAGATGATTGCAGTTCAGCAAAGCCTGATAATCCGCTATCAATTGATCACAGGTGTGTGGAAGCTGGGAAACATCTAAAACACGCAGGGCAGTTTGCCTTGAGGACCAGAGTTGAAAAACACTTTTCTAGGCTTCGGTATTGTCTCAACATGGGGGGTGAGGTTGCAGAGAAAAGTGAGGCAGAGATTAGTTCTTGTAGGTTTAATGAAGAGATACTGAGGCAAACACCCAAAAATACCAAAAACCAACAAACATCGGGGAAACTCATGTTGGGAGCCAGAGACAAGGAAGCAACAAACAACAAGAAACCAGCACTGAAGAAATGCACAGAAGAGTGTATATGGTAGACAAAACAAAGACTGGGGTAATCAGCTGATATGGAGCAGGTGTGGATGGAAGAGTCTAGAGCTTGGGGAAGGAGACAGGCACAAGGGGGCAACAGAGAGCAACTTAAGACTACTTAAATATATCACAAAAATAGAAACAAACCAAGGATCAAAAAAACAGAATTACTCAGAATGAAAAAAGCTAAAAACTCAAAGTCCAAAAGGGGAGAACCATAACATCTTGTCCCCACTTCACCTCTGTTTCATGGATGCTGGTTATTTAGTTTAGAGTCACAGTAACACAGTTGAGTCCACGGTAGTGTCCCAAGCCCATAACATCATCAGTGACCCTTCACATCCCCACCATGGACTGTTCTCCCTGCTGCCCTCTGATTCAAATAATGAATTAAATGAAATAAATGAAAATAGGGTAGAAACTTTTAGTCTTAAGATAATTGTAAAAAAAAATTCATACATAAGCTTTGACAATATCATGATCATTTATCTATTTAATTGCAATATTTAATGAATAGAAAATGAAAAGGGGTCATTCTTAATTTTCAACATTCTAACAATTGTAACTAAACAGAACAGGTAAAGAAGTTTAATACGAACCATAATAGAAATGATGTTTAAAAAACAAAAATGCAGCCACAACAAAGACAGTGGAGCTGTTTATAACTGGGCGAGGCCAGTGAAAGGTAATTCTCAGGGAGCTTTTTCGTAAAGTTTGTCAAATATTTTTTCAGTATATTGTAAGAAGTGCAATAAGCCGCGTGTATCTTGGATTGTCTCTTATAAGCTTCTCCTTGTTCTATGTTTATTTTTTTAAGCTCAAAGAGAATTGCTATTTCACTCTATCTGTCCTCCTGAGCCAACGCATTCTGACTCCCATCTCATCAAATACTGACGCTTTAGACCTAATCTCCCTACACCTCACATACTGATGCAAAAGGGGTTCACCCCTATCAATATATTGATGCCCAAGGTAAAAGACAGGTTGCGGACATTTTACCACATAACAAATTTAGCCAACAAAGTTGTTTTTGATAGCTTTATGTGTGTGGTGGCATGTATACTGGTGTTTCTTTAGGTATAAGGGTTAGGGATAAGGTAAAGGATGGGTTAGTGCTACTTCATTAATTTGCAGTTCAGCGAACATTTTCGCAAGTTCCTGCCACAACCTGTCATGCACCCTGAATGTCAATAAATGATGTGAGGGAATGACCAGGCAGCAATATTTGACATGTCTGGAAGGAGAATGTGTTGCATGAGCTCCTATCAAAGAGTTTTACTGAAATGTCACTTCAACTAAATTGCATCTGGTGTGTTCTGGCATTTAAAATCTGTTCATATACAGTAATCCTACTGAATATATTTTCACTAAAGTCTGTATTTTCTTTTTTTTCTCCTCCAGACACAGGTGTAAGAGACTACTACAAGAGCTATCCGATGGTAGATTACACCCACCGCCAGTCTCCTCCAACTTTCCAACCAATCAACTTCCACCCCAAGGACAAGCCCTTCCTCCCACCTCCAGATGTCCATGCACCTCTGGCCATAACCATCAACGCCTCCCAGATGCCCAAACCCAAGATTTCCAAAACCAACACACACCCGCTCACCTCCAGCTCGGCCTTCAAAGCCTGGGACCCAAGCAAGAGCCACATCCCGCACCCAACAGCCACCCACATGAGTATCGGCGCGCAGCAGCACCATCCCATCCAGCAGCAGCACCACCAGCCGCTGCACCAGCAGAACAGCCGGCGTCAGGCCTACTCCCACAAGCGGCAGTTCAGCATCGAGACGTTGCCAGAGCTCTTCTCACAGCCGTTGGGCTACGGCCACTCACCACACATGCACCCCAAGCACAAGGGACTGGCCACCAACAGCAAGACAGAGGTGACAGTGTGAAGGAACAGAGAGGGCGAATAGGCAAAGACATGGAGTTCATCCTGAAAGGGATGTGCTTTGATATCCTTAATATCCACAGCTTTGGTGTTGTGGAGGAGCAAACAAATATCACATCTGGGATTTTTAGTAACTGCATTTTCCTCACTGTTTTTAGCAAGAACAGAAAAAAACAGCATCTGTGTGTGGTATTTGTATATTTCTAAGACCACTGGATCGAACCCCAAGCGGATAAGCTGTGAAGGTGACGGAGCAGCAGGTGACATTTCTGACCCTTTGAACATGGCAGCTTTTCTAAATAATTGAGTGGCCTCTCAGTGTGTTGACACACCTCTCTGCATTGTCTCCTCCTGCATCTCTGCAACCTTCTGCTCCCCTCTGTAGCACCTTTCCACCATGCCCAAATAGTCAAACTCCACACAGAGACTTTATTTACCCCAGAATCCCTTTTTCCCGTGAAATTCCTCGGCCTCTCATCAGCTGAAATAATATCATTGTGTTGTCAGCTCTCTTTGCCCTGCGGTTTTCTGAAGAGTGAGATATCAGCCTTGCGATTCATACCAGAGAGGAGGGTGAGGGTTTGTGGGAAGTGTTTGTCTCAATCTAGAGGCAAACGCAATGAGAATGATCCAAACCACGTGCAGACTCCCACATGCATACATGTACACAGTCGTCAAATATTTTCTGCAATGTCAAAAAGCCTGCAGACTCCACTTCCATTCCCCCCCGGAGACAAACAGAAACACAATTTTCTCTCAAAACACTAATTCTCTGAGACTTGTGAAATGAATCGGTGAGCTGTCTTATTGTGTGCAGGGGCTTGATGAAATGTCTCCTAAGCTGAGGATGTTTATAGCTGCAAAAGAAGCTACTGATGCTTGAAAATTTGACAGAAAAGTTCAATTTGTCGAGCAGGATCATTGTGAAGTTCCCTGGTGTAGCTTGTGCCAGTGTTTCTTTATTGATTGAATACCTCCTCTGAGATACATCTTGCTTTTTTTCAGCTCTATGCAAGCGTAGTAGTCGTCAGAAGTATTTATATCCTTTGAGGTTTTCATTTTTTCTTAGCGGTAACGCTATTCTTTTTCACTGGGATTTCCTGTGTCAGACCAACTAGGGCATCACTGAAGGAAATCGGAAGGAAAGGGATTGATGTTTATTTTTTTTAAACCAAAAATAGTAATCTAAGAAATATGGTTTCCCTCCAGATTCACCCTCTTAACAACTCTTAACAAAATCCAGTGCAACCAACTGCCCTCAGAAATCAATCACTAATTTCCACCTATATGTTTTTTATGTTGTTCTAGCATATGAAATTACAAAAAAAAGCATATTGATGCTTTAAAAGTGGAAAAAAGCAATAAAAGCTCAAGGAGTGTGAATACTTTCTTCAAGGCTCTGCAAACACCGGCTTCCAGATAGATTATTACCAACATGCAGGGTTTCTGAGTGTAAGGAGAGAAAGCCCTGATGCATACAAAAACACCTTTACAAGGGATGCCTGAGTGGAGCCGTTTGATGCGAGTGTTTAGTGCTGCTGCTTGCGCTGCAGTTTGCTTCACTCCCTCTTAATGAAGTGTCTCAGCACTACAAGTGAATGACTGCTAGCACTTAAACAAATCACTAATGTAATTCATGCCTTGGACGCATACAGCTTACACATCAAGAGAGCAGCTTGGTCTGAGGCTATGCTTTCATCCAAATAGAGGAGCAAAACAGAAGAACTTTTTATCCATACTAATGCCTATCCAGCAATTTAGATGTTTGGATTTACAGGTCTAAAATTTTATTTTTATTTAGATTTTTAATGATACGGATATTAGAAATGCAAAATATTTCCTTCAATGTTCTTTTTTCAGTTTCAAGCCATTCTTTAAGACCTCTTTATTTCAACAGCCTTACAGTTGTTGAGAATGTAACACATTTATATTCTCAACACGTCACATGCTGACGCTTGATCAAAACATTTGGCGTCACATTTGAGGGCTTCAGATATCCCTTAGGGCTGCTGTTCTGTGTGCCCTGTAATGATTTACACCAGCAGCCTTCTGAATCAGGACAGTTAATCTGCTTGCCAGGGTTTCTGCAGAGGCTGTTGAAGGTACAGAGACCCTTCTTTGGTTTGAAGATGCAAATCTGTTAAAACAACCCAATCTCCCACTATGAGTTAAACGGAGCTAAGCTTGTTCAACATGTTCTTTTTTTTTTACCCATCAAGCATTGCACATTAGCTGCAGCTGAACAGTTTTAGATGTAATACATTTGACTTTTTTTGGATTTTCTTGTCACGATAAGTAAAAAGAATCTTAAAATAGATGAATATTTTATGGCGGCAGCATGATCTCAAATCGCCAAAATCCAACCAGTGAGAAAAAATTTTTACTTTTTTGCAAGTGTTTAGTAAAAAAGATCTTTCTCATATACATATAGGGAACTACCACCTTATTGTTAGAATTTAACTTGTTTAGGTAGTTTAGAGTTTTCTTTGGGTAAACATGCAACAACCCATAGGCTATTTTTTTTTATCAGTGATTATTGTGTCGAGGTGAGAAGGTTGTTAAAAGTCCTAACAAAAACAAGGCTTTCTTGGGCTACTGTATATAGCCTCAAACTCAACACTATTTCAGACATTTGAGTTGAAAAAGCTTTCTGGATCGGAAACAAAACGTCTTTAAACTTGGAAACAAGTCAGGTGAATTGTTTTTTTTTAAAACATTTTTTGAAGTTGTTAAAGGAGGTTAAAAAAGCTCATCAATAAAGAAGGGGCATTTTGGGTCCACTATCTGTCAGATGCTACATCTAAAAGATAACTGTTAGAGGCATGCCAGAAAAGAGCCCCTTCAACAACAGAAATATGTTGAGTTTGTGGAGACGAGTGCTTTCATCAGAAGAGTCTAAAGCTGGCGTCAAACGACACTATCCTGCCATTTTAAAAATGTAGGCAATGCTGGTAGAAGCGCAAGGAAATGATGCCAATGTTTTTAGAACTTGAAATATTTTTTCTAAATAGTGCATGTGAATTAGGATCAAAGTTGGGGACTACAGTACAGTGGTCTGCATTCTGAGTGCAATGCTTTAGCTGTTGTGTCTTCATCTTTTTGCGTTTATTTTTACGTGAGGATGAGTCAGTGTAACAGTTTTTAAATGGCCATTCAGGAGCAATGTTGTCTGCATAAACAAATTTGAACCTGAAAAGGTTTACAGCCTTTAAAATTCGGCAGATTTTGCTAAGGCACTATTTTTGCATAATGAAGCCTCTTAAGCTACATGAAACAAGAGACTAAAAAATTTTAATACACACAACTTGGAGGGCGCATATCAGTGGTACAGTGATTATTCGATGGGAAAGGATAAATCTTCTAACAAATTCTTAAAACTTAGGATGGTTTTGAAGCATAACACACAATGCTGCCATCAAACAAGCAACCAGGCTATTTTCTACCAGCAAACACACACTAGTAGCATCCAGCCTTAAGCTGATGCCTCAGTTTATGGCATCCAGCTGACTTGTGGTACATTTTCAGGATGGTGGATTTAGTTTTAAATAGGGCAAGTTTCAAAAAGAGATAATATTTCTTACTGCAGCCCTAAATTAACTGAAATAGATTTTACGTCTTGTGAGTGGCTACTGACTGTTCACAGGTTCGCCTCACAACCCTGTTTAAAAGAAACATTTTCGTTTCTGATTAAAAAAAAAAAATATATTGGTTTGTTGTTTTTAGTGATCTTGTTCTGCAAAGGGATTCCATCTTAAACCAATATTTCTTCGAAAATATTTTTTCATTCAGCTAGTCTGACTTACCAATTAAATTCCCCTTCAGTTGTTATCATAAGGACACCAGATATGCCGCAGTGGATAAGTCTGGCACATGCTACAGCACATCAGGCAGGTGGTGGAACCTCATCAAACTGCATCACTTATCACAGTCACACCCTATTTAGCACTTTTTTTCCCCCACCGCCTAAACCTGCTCCTCTGCACCCATGGAAGGCTGACGGATGGGTACCAAGAGCTTGTCGGGTGTTGCTGCCCACTGCTTCAAAATCTTATGAACCATGAATCTCCCTGGGTCCTCCTACTGTGCGAGTTACTGTGTATTAGGAGTCAGCTATGATGGACGACAGTGTCAAAGAAAGCATGGCAGGCATCAAATTCGCTCCCCACTGAACAACCAGACACAAACATGATTAAATTTGCACAAATGCAGAAGGCTACTTGAATTTCCATATTATTTTATATCTGGATTTTTTAAATTCCAACAGCACTAGTTAAAGTTTTGGCAAGTCTGGGCAAATCATCAGTGAGCAAGATAAATCTGTCTTAGTTTTTATGTTTAATAAAGACGCAAATGAACAAAAGCAGATAAAATAGGCCAATTAATTATAACTTTAACAAGAGAGAATAAATCAAAAGTATAATGCAAGCTTAAAATCCTGCAGGGGTTCCTGGACTGCACCATACATGGATGTGAAAAACCTGCATAGTGAAGCTGCCTCGAGTGCTGCTAAGGGCCTGCTCACTCAATTTTATAATAAGGGATCAGCAGAGAATGGGGATCATGAATACAAAAGCACCAATAGGATATGCATGGTGTGAAAATGCATCACATGCATCTGCGCTTGTGCTCTCTCTTGCTCTTTGGTGTATTTAACTTGCCGTGTTGTAGCTCCGGTTTTTCTACATAGCGTCCCTCTTTCCTCAGGACTTTTAGTCCCATGAGGGGAAAACGCTTTTAGTGTGTCACATTAGGTGAAAAAGCTCTCTAGCCTTTAAATCCTTAACTGAACTGTCTCAAATCTCAAATCTCTCCTAATGCATTAAAGGAGTGTTTCTCAAACTTCTTATAGGTACCAAAATCGGTATTAAGGCTTCAAAATACCGTCACATTTAAAGATATTTGAAAACAGGAGCCTGATATAAAAGGAGGTTTTGGGTTTTCCTGAAGAAAAGTCTTACCGTATTTTTCCTAAAAGGGTTGTGATGAAGATACATAGATCTTACAACATGAGAGGACATATGATAGTAGATTCACATGGACAAGACCAGTGGGATTTTAGAAAAAATAAAGATAATCTTATGTTTTAAACCTTAAAATAAATATCATACTAGATCCGTTGTGTCAAACTCATATTAGATGTTTACACCTGAATCAAATAGCTAAACCAGCTCACTAGGATAAAGTGAAGTTATGCAGAACTCTGCTAATAAACTACTACAGGAGTCAGGTGTGTTGAATTAGAGATTCATCTTAACGCTGCAGGATCCTGGCCATGGAGGACTGAAGTTTGGGAACACTGTCCTAGATGACTCTGAACTGAGCAGAGATTCTTTAAAAGATAGTTCAAGATTTTATCCATCCATCTTCTTCCACTTATCTGGGGTCAGGTCGCTGGGGTCGTAGTTTCAGTAAGTAGGCCCAGACTTCCCTCTCTAATGTCCCTCTCTCGTAATGAGCATTTATTATAGTAGTAGACAATTTCAAAGCTTTATTTGTAATTAAAACCAACAGTAAAATACAGTTTTATAAGGACTACCCAAACTTTGACTACTAAATCATTTGAAGATTAGACCAAAAGTGTTGCTAAAATATTATCTTATTTCCATGATCTCCACATGCCTACAGTGGATCTTTGATAAAGAAACCATCAGCTTGCAGATCCTGCTCCACACTCAAGACAATCTAATCTTTTTTAATGTTTTGTTCTAAGATGGTGAAATTAAAAGCACCTCCAAAACCTGTCCATCTTCAATTGTCTGTTAAAGCACCCAATTCCTCAAAGAACCCCTTCTACCATAACACATGGGGTAGAAGATGGATGTTACACCTGTATGCAGTTAACTGTTCCCGCTGTTTTTCCAATTTGAATTGAATCTAGTGGGAGTTTTGACAATGTTCATATTAGGTTTCTTGTTTAATTTTATTTTAAAGCAAATATCAAAATGCTGGAATGTACCATGGAAATGAGTAATGTAAAAATTACCCCTGAGAAGCCATATAGAGGCTACCCAAGTGTACCCATGGTTGGCTTTTATTAAAACAGTCTGAAAACTTTGACATTAGAAGTCATAGACAAAATAATGCATAAGAAAGCAAGCAATATAAGTTAGCAAAGCAATAAGCACTCACCAGATCTCACCCTCACCTCAACTGTTTTGTATGTGGAATCTAAACAGAGGGGAGCATTGAGCAGAGGAGGAGACTCTACAGAGGGAATGAAAGAGGATGGAGACCAGAGTAAAAACAGATCATGTTTTTTCATGGAGACACCATATTGTACTGGTTGTTTTGTATTCAGTTCTCTCTGCAGTCCTGAAACATTCATCCTGGATTTCAATCTCCTTGATGTACCCAAGCAGCCAGCTTCATAAAGGATTCTGCGACTGCAGCTGCAAAGAGAAGCCGCTCTGTACTCTGATCTGCAAATGTTCACAGCGGGACCTGGACCCTTTTTATTCTCTTCACACACTGACAGACCTCAAGCGTCGCAATCTAAGAATGAACAAACAGCACTGGAGGAGCGACAACGGCTTCAGGATTTACAATTAGAGACAAAACAAGTCCTTCAGGACAAACAGAGCCTGAGGATAAGCTACCAGCAAAGTTAAAGAGACAACTTTTCTAAAATTTTCTCGGCGCCTGTTTGTCATACGGATTAGCTGACAGTGTGAGCACTAGCTGACTTAAACTTTTTCCTGCACTTTGGGAAATTTTGCTTCCAGTGTGCCAGGATCTCAAGAAACAATCATGCTGACATATTGGAAAGAAACTGACACATTTTAGCGTTGATTTCCCTGTGGTCCAAAAGCTCTAGAAGTTTTATTTTTTATTATTACCTCGTGTGTGTGCATGTGTGTGTGTACGTGTCTCCAGGCTGGACATCTTTGACTACCTTCAGGCAAAGACTAAATTAAAAAACAGCTGGTGAAGTTAAGCTAATTGGACTGGAAAAAGCTTCCGATGAGCCGCTGTTGTGAACAATGCACACCCCTCGCACACATGCACAAGCATCCATGCACGTACAGACAAGGAACTCCCATCTGCATATAAAGACCACTTTTTTGTGGAATGAAGAGGGACCAAAAACCTTGAATCAGGGGAAACTGAGTACGCCTAACTGATGCTTTAACATCTAATGCAGTGGGAATGCTGAGACTGTTTTGAATCATCAGCTTAGAGTGACTTTACTCAATTTCTCCTGATAAACGGCAGACTATGGCGCAGTTTGCTCACCAACAAGCAAACTGACTGTTGTTTGTGAACGGTTCCTCTCCAGAAAATACACAACGGAAGTATTCTACCGAAGGTTATGTGAATGCAACCTGGTAGACATACTTGAGCTCCATGATCCTTAGCAATATATAGATTATCTTGTACGGTTCAGTTGTTTCCTCGTCTTCTGTCAGATTTTGTATGGTGTTTTTCCAGGACTGAGCTCCTGCTTGAAGCATTGAAACATTAATTTGACCAATGAAAAAAAAAGATGAAGCGCTTCCAGATTTTAAACTCATGACTGCACACCATTCTAGATCTAGGCACCCACCTATCATACGTCACACAATATAACTCCAAAGGTCACAGACGATCTTTTGAATTTCATTCTATGTCATGTATACAGTATGAAGCTCGTGATCTTTGTGAGTTACATTGTTTGGTATAGACATGCACTTGTGTATTTACTGTTAAAGAAACTGCATTGTATTTAAGTGCTCTGTCAAAACATTAGCTTAAAAAAATGAAAAAGGGGAAAGTTTAATTATTTCTTGTACAGCTTTTGCACCTCCAGAAAATAAAAAATAAAAAAAGTTTCATGATCCTTTGTACTGAGCAGCAATAGGCTGCTTTGGACAGGTATATATATATATATATATATATATATATATATATATATATATATATATATATATATATATATATATATATATATATATATATATATATATATATATATATATATATATATATATATATATATATATATATATATATATATATATATGAATGCTGTACCATTTGTCTGCTGTGAAGTTGTTGACTGCTCAGCTTATATAAGGGCTTTTTATAGATTTCAAACCAGACAGGCATCACTCTCTGTAACTCAAAATATTCTGGAGGGTTTTTGTTTTGGGTTTTTTTTTTTTTTTTAGAAAAAAAGGGACATAAACAACATTTTCATGCATATAAAAATGGTGTACAAATAAAGTTTTCATCTGACTTACTGAAGTGTTTTTAGCTACTCATGTTATATTTGCCCATGTGTCATGTTTGAATAAATCGTTAAAAAAAATATTGTATCGATCTTGCCTTCATGCACTTTCATGGAATACTACAGCTGCTGCTTTTGAGCCATTAAATAAAAAGTAGTTAAGTTTTTAACTCAGAAAAGACCTTTAAGGATGTGTTGGTAGTATAATTGTTTATTATCTGATGCTATAGAAGACTGATCTGTGGTCCTAGGGCTGAGGTGTTAATTTTGACAGATTTTACTCTAGACACTTAAGCAGTACAGGCAACAAATTTGTTATATCCATAAATGAATATGTTGAGTAACTCCATCAATTTCATGAAATAAACATTTCAGAAATAAATAAACCCATATAAGATAGTGAGTGAACACTCATCATCAATGTCTGATGTGATGATTGGTATCTACCTAGATCATGTAACCTATATGTACCTTTGCTTCAG